ATAAATAAAGCTTACTTACTTACTTACTTACTTAGGGATGTTGCAATTTTTGCAATACTTTTTTTTTTAAGTATACGTTTTGCATTTTGCCGGAAATATGGCGCCGTGGCAAGATCTCAGTTTTTCCAATGTGATTTTACTGCAAATGGCAAATAATTTCTAGAATCTTGAATCTTGTATCAGGAAGTACTTCATAATTATCATACAACCCAAATCAAAATCACTAGTGTGGCCAAATGTTTTCAAAGTCTCTTAAATATATATATTAAATCTATATTTTCATTATTTTTGTAATTTGTTATTTGTCTACTACAGCTAAAGGCAATATGGATATCTACCTATGGAGTTTATTATCAGTATCAAATCCAAGAACAACTCTTGTTTTACAGAGTTGTTTTACAGAAAATATACTTATAAAGATAGGTCTGAGAGACAATAAATGTATTTTCAGGTTATCAAAGTAAATACTTACCACATAATGAGTGGAGTAAGTTTGAGATTTGACACAAACCATAAAATATGAAATGCTACATTATTAACAGTGCACTAATGATTCTGTTTGTTCTTTGTTTGGGTCAGAGTTGGGTTATGTCTGCTCTAGTTCATTCATTCATAGTGTAATATGACAACAGAGAAAAAACAGTTGTGTCCTCACAGCATGATAAAGGCCCCTCCTCTCTACTGTTCGTGTGGTGTGGCATACCCACAGATACAGTTGCGTTCAGTTAAAACCAAATGGGAAGCAGCACTATCTCAGCAACATCAGACAAACGTTCTCTTTGTTTTGTTTTTTATGTTTTTCCTGTTTTGAACCATCAACGTATGTGTTTTGTATGTAGGGCACGGATGTAGTCAACTTGAACTACTGCTGCCACTTCTATTGATATATAGACCAATAATGCATCTCCTATTCTTCTATTTCTATTTACTTTTCAACCAACTAAGGAGGGACAACATTTTAAAGAAAGAAAATTGTAAAAAGTCATTAGTAGTATTCCGTAAAGCTGTTCTGTATGTTCTTAACAACTGTTTAATTGTCTTATTGTCTGATTCTAATTGTGTGATTTTCTAATCTGTCTGGCAACTCAACAACTTTGAGGCGACTGCTGTGGTAATTTTGGGGTCTCCAAACACAGAATACATACATGTACTTTATTTATTTACTCACCAAATACATTGACGCATATAAACATTGATTTAACGAACAATGCAATAGTTATGATGATCTTGTTAGCTACAGTGCTATCTTTGGTAACAAATCTTCGCTCACTTTATCTTTGAGTCTTTGAGTGTGTGTGTATGATATTGAACATGAAAAGTTCTTGGACCAATCCAAGTATCAAAATAGTTGGGGGTCTTTCATAGATTCCTTCACTCTCCACAATGCTTTTATACCTCTTGCTGTCATTTCCTCTAGTTTTTTTCTCCTTCTGTACAGCCCCATGTTGCCCCTCCATCCTTCTCTATGCTCTCCTTCTAACAAGCTGCACTCCATTCAGCAGCCTCTGTAATTTTCAGTGTGTGTGTTGTGCTCTGGGAGGGGGCAGGCAATTAGTTTGTTAGTTGGTTGAGCTTATTGTGTTCCAATGGCCCCTGTGCCCAGCTGGACTTTGCAAGAACCTAGAAACTTGCATTCATGCGATACTTCTCCTTTTACCCCTTCCCCCACCTCTCCCCCCTCAATCTTCACCAAGACCCTCTCCACTTTCAGTAATCCTCCAACTCACCACCCAGTAAAGATCTGTTTATAGGAGTAAACATAACTTGGCCTGTTTACTGATAACATTAGTGTGCCTAACCAAATGAACAGGAGGGGAATGCTTACCTCCAGGCACTTATGTTGTTGACGTCTTGTTAATGGCTTGTTCCGCACTGGTCTTCACCTAGGGTTAATAAACAAACAAACTTAAACAGTCTTAAAACTTTGAATTAATTAGGCAATGTTTGTTTGTTGACATCGGCAGCATTATTGTCAATCTGGTATGAGATTTCATAACACTTTGAAGCAACTTTTGTTAAAGTTAAACTCATCAATCTATCAATGTGCAGAAGCCAGTACTTTTCCCTTGTTTTGTCTATCTGAAGGCCAAGCTACAAGCACACTGTGGAAGCTGCTGATTGGAGGTCTTCATGCCTCCGCTCTGTATAATACACTTGCATTCTCTTGTATCTGTGATCGTGTGTTTTGTTCGTGCTGTCTCTACCATTGACAATAAAACATGTCTTCTGTCTGAATGAAAGACGCGATCCCAGACTTGGTACATCTTCTTCAGGTGGTGGAGAATGCGGGCATTGTCTGTAACATCTAGAGAACAGAAGACTACTTTTTTTTTACACAAAAAGTGTTTTTTTTTTAAGCCAAAACTGAGAAACCTCAAGAGAATGCATCTGGACCAGCACACTTGGACAATCTGCACAGCCCCTGATTCCACTCAGGCTGTGAGCTGCTGAGACATGGACAACACCAGCGTCCTCTTTTGCAAGGACATAATTTGGAACAATCTGGATTTCTGAATTTGGACATAATTTGGACTGAATTGAATTGCTGAATCTGGACACTGAAGCTGAAACGAGTGATTGAAAGACACGTCACAGAAGAATTCATGGCTCGACACAAATGCAGCCTGAAGAAACCAACAGGAGAAGTGGGAGAGACTGTTTTCAAAGCAATATCTGGAACCACCATCGACTGATGAAGTTTGGTATTTTACTGAAGATTGTTGACAAGTTTTATGAAAGATCTGAACATGTTTTATGAGTTTTATGAGTTTTTGAAGTATTCCGAGTTCTGAGTTTTTTGAAGTACCGAGTTTGAGTTTTTGAAGTATTGAGTTATGATGTTATGTTGCTGTTTATCGATCCTGATGGTCACACGTGAATGTATGACCAGAGGGGGGAATATGAGATTTCATAACACTTTTAAGCAACTTTTGTTAAAGTTAAACTCATCAATCTATCAATGTGCAGAAGCCAGTACTTTTCCCTTGTTTTGTCTATCTGAAGGCCAAGCTACAAGCACACCGTGGAAGCTGCTGATTGGAGGTCTCCATGCCTCCGCTCTGTATAATACACTTGCATTCTCTTGTATCTGTGATCGTGTGTTTTGTTCGTGCTGTCTCTACCATTGACAATAAAACATGTCTTCTGTCTGAATGAAAGACGCGATCCCAGACTTTGTCATCTTCTTCACTGGTAATACAATTACCAATAATGGCCAGATTGATGTTGGCTGATTTTTACTTGCAAATAAATTCATCAAATTAGTCTGACCAAACATTGTTCTAATGTATTACTCCAATGGATTTTATAATACTTTTTACTTAAGGCACATTATGTGGGCTATATAGTAAGCCAATATATGGGTACCGCCTCTGTGTGTCTGTATGTATGTCTGCTTTAGGCAGGATTGCACATTCTAGTTGTAATGTCATAAATTACATCTTCATTTTATAGCCCAAAAACTTAAAATCTATATTTCTGTTCTGAACAAGTTGAGGATATAACAGAATGAATAGCATTACATCGTGACAAAGCCAGTGAAGTGACAAGAGCATGTGAGCACTGACTTATGTATACACAGTACACACACAAACACACATTTACTGGTGACCACTTGGCTGGAGAAAAACAAAGCTTCTACCCTGGCTTTGTTCTCAGCTAAGTCATCCTTCTAACTCTGTGTGTTGGTTTCAGGCATCTTTGGCTCTAGAGAAAAAGGGGGAGGATCTCTGTTTAGAACACAAGTTTTGACAATAACACTTTCAACCTAAAGATCTTTGCTGTTGAATAATGTGGCCTCCACACAACAGCTGGTCTGGATAATGCAAGGAGAAATGAGTAACAATGCAACCAAAAATATGTGAGATTAAACCTTAATAAAAAAAACATTCTAGATTGTCTTATGTCAATGAACATTTCTGCCATATTTGAACTGTATATACAGTTACAGAGATAGATATGAACATAATTATGCAGTAATGGAACTCAATCCTTCATTGTGTTAAAGGTAATTCTGAAAGACAGTTTTTTACTGACCCATCTGGCTAAAATTGCAACAATTCTAACAAGAGTCAGAGGTGTGAATTGTGAAAATCAAGTGAGCTGCATAAGTTTCCCTGAAACTCATGTGGTATGAGCTTATTGTTTATGTTGTACATAAATGGCCTTGTGTTGATGGGACATACAAACAGGACATCGTCTGATGGGGTATGTGTGTGTTTGTTTTACTTCTTAATGTCCCATTATTCTGATCTACTGGAAAGTCATGGGAATGTATGGGAATTATTGAGATTCCCAAACATATGATACAGGCCCAAACATTTACAATAAATTTATATCCATATTACTTCCTACTCGACTAAAATTAAAATCATTTAATTAATTTCATGTGTGTTTCATCAATGCTATATTTTTGCTGGCTGAACATAAAAACAACAAAACGTGATCAACCCTAAAGAAAACAATAAAAAAAACTAAAACATTTTGCTTAAAATATGACTACCAGTGAATGTCGAAGATAAAAAGTCCAGACTATTTAAAATAATTATACACATTCCTTTCATTACATCAAAAGAGTAAAAAAAAATTAAACTATAAAATTGTGAATGTTACTGCTGAGCACGGTTGTTATAAGGCTAGCTAAACGTGCTAGCTACTGCAGAACATATTTCCACAACGTTACAGCCACGTTTCATCTAACTTACTGGATTTCGTTGCTGATTGATTGGAGACTTGTATTTGTAGTTTAGAACTTTTGGGACTTTGAAGTTTTAACAGAAAGTGTCGGTGGTTGAAAACAGGGGGGCAGTAGCTAATAGATCCATGGGCAGTAGTCAGAGCAGTGGGCGGGGCTAGTCGCACTGTTTTAAATCCACACGTGGTCGTCTCCGCTGCATTCTTAGCACGTCCACAACGACAAACTTCTGATCGACCCATGCCAACGGGTCCATCGCCTCGGGGCAAACGGGATCACACCGAGACCAGTGCGAAAACTCAGCACAATGCCTTCGTACTCTCTGAACCAGTTCTCCGACCTCGAGGAAATCATGTGTAAGGTGAGGAGAAGGAGAAGCAGCGGAAAAAGTTTAGCAGAGCTCGTGCTAACTAACTGTGCGGCAATGTTAGCTTAGCCGCTGTGCTAGCCCAGTTCTTCAGTGTTTTGTCCAACTTTTGCGATGTATCATTGATGATTCCAGTTTGTCTGCGTTAGCAAAGTTGTTGTTTGATAATGATTTTGGGGTTTGAATTGTATTTAAAAAAAATGCGTATTTTGACACTTTTCTTAGCTGTTGTTAAACATTTCCGTAAGATCTGACTGGTCGAAAACAACTTTGTCTTGGCTTGACGCGTATACAGTCTATGGTTACAAGTGGCTTCTGTCAATGCGGCTCCCAATCCCTCACAAATTTGAAATGAATGTATAGGAACTGCTACACTAACTTCACTTTTGTTGTAATGTCTTGGGTCTGTGAAACGGGTAGAATTGCCCGTCAGTGTAGAAATGTTCTGTAGGCTTGAATAGTTGATCTATAGTTGTTAATCTTGCAAATGGACCATTTAAAAAAAGTGTATAACTTGATGGATTAATCCTTGTTTTTGTATTACACCCTTAAAGACTTATGGTGTATTTATATTAATATCCATATTTCTCATCTTACAGCAGTTGCTGGGCCTTGACCTGAGGGAGCAGAATAAGCCTCTCTCAATGGCCATGAAAACCCCAGGCTACATTGGTCAGAGGAGCAACTCATCATTTTCCCTTTCCTCTCTGTGTCCCTCCGAGTCATCAGATAACATGCTTCAGTGTTCCAGTCAATGGATACAGTCCCCAGTAAGTCCCCTGTCTCCTCAACTTCCCAACTCCACACAATGGGGAAAGGCGGGTTTCCTGGCCCAGCGATCTATAAGTATGGTTGAGACCAACAGCCTGGCTGCTGCAAGTCTCTGCTGGCCAGGGAGTGACCTGAAACACTCCCAGTGTGACCTCAGCTCCTCTGCCTCTTCGGTCTCCTCATCCCTCTCCTCACGCTATAAGACTGAACTGTGTCGCTCCTTCACTGAGAATGGCCTCTGCAAATATGGAAGCAAGTGCCAGTTTGCACATGGAATGGACGAGCTGCGTGACCTTAACAGACACCCCAAGTACAAGACTGAGCCATGTCGCACTTTCCACACTATTGGCTTCTGTCCTTACGGTATCCGCTGCCACTTTGTTCACAATAATGAAGAGGAGATTAAGCAGTCCACCTCTCACTCCTCGTGCTCTGGTGTTCCATCCCAAACCACTTGTACACGCTCCAACAGGCCACCTCTAATCAGACACAGCTTCAGTTTTGCTGGTTTCCCCTCAGCTCTGCAGCAGAGTCAGCAGCCGCCTGCTCTTGCAGCTAATCCTGCCTCAGCCTTTACACGCAGCCCCTCTGCATCACCACCATCCTGTGCTGATATCACAGACCTGCTGTCCCAGGCCTTCCTGGATTTGGACTCTGCCTTTGAGGCCTCTACAGTTCCTCAGCAGTTCCAACCACCACAGAGTCATGAATCTTCAGGTGACCCACACTATCCATTCCTTCCCTCTCCAGATTCGGGATGTTCATCCCCCACACTGAGGCAGAGCCCAGGGGTCCCGGGAGCCTTTGGACCCCTGGGCACTAGATCTTTGTCCATTACGTCCTTGTCAGACCAGGACCAGGATGGAGGGAGCTCCAGCAGCTCTCTCAGTGGTTCGGACCCCTGCTGTGGCCTTAATGAAGCAAGTGGAAGGCGCTTAGCCGTGTTTAGCCAGCTCTCTGTCCCTGACGATCCAGCATCCTTCTTCATTTAACCTGCCTTAACCTCACAAAAACAACATACAAAAGGACGTTGGGCCTCTACCTTTTTATACACTCAAATTTCCTATACACACACACCCAGAGACTGGGCAGATCATTTCACCATAGATATGTTCTATATCTGTATATTGTCAAATGTAAAAACGAACACTTTCCGAGCATGTGGTTTACGTCTGTATGAGACAAGCCAGTTATAATGTGTCACCACTAAGAGACCATATCAGGGTAGAATTTTTATAGTCCTGTATGTGTGATGCCTTATCAAAGCCCTGGCACAGCAGATAGTAGCAGTTATTGTAATCACAGTGTGATTGGCCAACTGCGGCCTGTTGTTGAGTCCAACCGCACCAGTATTTTTATTTTTCTATTTACTGAATGATCTAATATGTGACCAAGCCAAAGACATGTTTGTAGAATTTGATGGCCTGCATTTGAAGTGTTTCACTATTCATTGTACACAGTATTGTTACGTTGGAGAGATTGTTTCCTCCACTGTGAAGTTGGAGATAGTTTAAATCTGATGGAAATCTGAATGTTTTTATACAACTGAAGTGCCTGTTTTGTTACTGAGCAGGACATGTTGGATTGTTGAACTTAAGTTGTAGATTGTCAACATGGAGCTGGTTGATGAAGCTATTGCTAAAGGTGCATTACTGACTGCAACTTTTAACTGTTATGCCTTTTCTTGAAAATTTAAACAACTATTTATTGACCTCTAACCTATGGTGCTCTTATGTTATATGAAGCACAGACATTCCTGATTTTGGGAGTTGATGCCCAATTTCTCCACAAGCAGGCATTGCAGACAGTGGTCAACTTTTGTATGCCTATTTTTTTGTGTCTTGCGACTTTTCAACCCAATGCATTTTGTTTTCTCTTTTGAAATGGTGGCATCCTGGTCACAACCTGAGCAGCCAGGTGTGCTGCTATCCCAGCTGTCGGTCCAGTAGTTGTGTTAGCTAGTGTTTTAGAAATGTTTCCTGGCTGTTTGTGTGTTTCAGATGTAGCTGATTTAGAAAAACTGGTATGGTGCTGTTACTGCTCTATTTAAAATTGCCTTTTCATCAACTTGTTTGACGCCTGTTTAGTGTTAAAGGTGATAATCTTTAGTAAATTAATTTCTTTAATTTATTTTAACATATTTATAGAGGACTTTGAGTTGTTAATGCTTGTATCAAGTTTAATATATTTGGGTTATTTTGCTATTTTGTACTGGAAATAAAGTTTTTGTTTTTTTAATGTTCATGAGTTTTATTGTTTTGTAATCCCATTTTTGACGAATTTGTCACAGGACTTTTTGAATGATTTCCCGTGACTCACAACTGATCTCAATTATACTGAACTGCTTTATTTGTGATTGTCTGTTTTCAAGGCTTTAGAATGCAGCCAAAATAAAACCTTTCTACTGTGTTTTGCACTGCTGCTTCCTAGTTGACGTCACCATCTCTCAGCATGGTATACTGCAGTAAAACTGGTGTTCTAATTCTAGAGGTTTTTGTTCTTTTTAAGTTAATGGTTTGAAAAATAACTATTTAAATCTCAAACCAGATTCCTTCAAAGCACCGGAGACCCACCCAAATCTTCTACCAGATGCTAATTCTGTTGGCTGTGGCAATTGTTTGCTGCAATTTACATCTTTTCAAAAAACTAATCATTTTTCAAGCAGAAAAGCTTAAGTGATGTGTTGCTTTTCTATTATAAATCAAAAGAGCACAACATGAATTTGACCTTTACAGGCTGCCTTTGAGTTTGAAATCATACTGATGCTTACTGGTTTTTATAATTGTTTTTGACATAACTACAACATACAACTTTCCAGAAACTTTTTTACATTTATACTTTTTTTTTTTTTTTTTTTTAAACTGTAGAGTGAAGTGTGGGAGAACAGCTGGTTAAATGTGTGTAGTCATGCCAGCGGGATTTCATGTGGAGATAAGCACTCTTTTGTTCAAGGTTTAATCTTACCAAAGCCAAGACTCCCACCCACTCCCCCTGGTCCTGCACCCCTCCCACCCGTCACTGGTCCCTCCGCTGCCTCCTTCATCATACACTTTCACTTTATCCTTTCATTTCTAATTACTCACCTGTTGATCTGCAGACTCACGGTGGCCTGAATACAGAGTCAATCCATTTCCCGACGAATGTTTTACAAAGGCTTGAAACATTTCACTCAGTCAGGTAAATCTATTTGAGTTTCCTTCTAATTGGCAATGGTTTTTATTTTATTTATGGTCATTGTCAACATGATTACATGAAACGTTAAGCTATGAGTAATGGCAATATTTTTTTAACAAGTAACACAAGACAACACTGAATTCACATCTAGAAATTCATTATAGTGTATTTAGGTAAATATTGGTTGTTTTTTTCAGTCCAGTGCTTTCATCCTCCATATATTATGTTACGGTTGCTGCTGCATTGATTACTTCAAACATGAGCTGTCAATTGTGTAATGACAAAAGTTTATGTACATATTTGGGTTTGTCAAAGTTGAAAGTGTTCTGAGTCAGTTTTCCCCCAAGGCTATTGCATACAACAGGCATTATCTTGTTACAGGTAACACAAACTGGGCTGGATGTCTGACTGTGATTAGTGGCTGCGTGTGAGGGGCTTTGGAGCTTTATTGATTGACTGCGGAACCTTCCGCAGTCAACCATTGGTTTTGTATTTCTTTATTCCGTCATTTTTTTTGACACGTTTCACAGCTTTCACATTTTCAACAATTTCCACAAGTTATACATCAAAACGTTCCACATGTTTGGGAGATTATTGCTATTACTTTTGGGACTTCAGCGATTTCCGGTTTTTCCGCAATCGGACAAAAATCTGCATTGAGAATTCTGCAATGCATTTTAATAGGCCCATGCATTTTAATAGGACTTCAGCTCTTTCAGACATTTCTACAGTTTCAATGATTCAACAGTTTCAAGGATTCAACAGTTTCAAGGATTTCAGCAGTTTCAAGATTCAAGAGTTTCAAGGACTTCAACAGTTTCAAGGACTTCAGCAGTTTCAAGGACTTCAGCAGTTTCAAGGACTTCAGCAGTTTCAAGGACTTCAGTGTAATCATGCAACCTAATAGGGATTTTTCATGTAAACCAATGCAACTTAATAGGATTTTTCCATGTAAACCAGTATAATGCAATTAATGGGGATTTTTCATGTAAACCAGTTATGCATTATAGGGTTTTTAATGTAAACCAGTATATGCAACTTATAGGGTTTTCCATGTAAACAGTTAATGCAACTTAATAGGGTTTTTTCATGTAAACCAGTATAATGCAACTTAATAAAACAGTATAATGGGTACCGTTTTTTCCATGTAAACCAGTATAATGCAACTTAATAGGGGGTTTTTTTTCCATGTAAACCAGTATAATGCAACTTAATAGGGGTTTTTATAGGATTTTTCCATGTAAACCAGTATAATGCAACTTAATAGGGTTTTTCCATTAATAGGGTTTTCATGTTTTTTTACATAATCAACTTAATGGGGATAAAACCAGTATATGCAACTTAATAGGGGTTAATTATGCCAGTATAATGCAACTTAATAGGGTTTTTTTTCATGTAAACAGTATAATGCAACTTAATGGGGATTTTTCATGTAAACCAGTATAATGCAACTTAATAGGGTTTTTACATGTAAACCAGTAATGCAATTAATAGCATGTAAACCAGTATAATGCAACTTATAGGGTTTTTTCCATGTAACCGTATATGAACTTAATAGGGTTTTTCCATGTAAACCAGTATAATGCAACTTAATAGGGTTTTTTACATGTAAACCAGTATAATGCAACTTAATGGGGATTTTTCCATGTAAACCAGTATTATGCAACTTAATAGGGATTTTTCCATGTAAACCAGTATAATGCAACTTAATAGGGATTTTTCCTTGTAAACCAGTATAATGCAACTTAATAGGGTTTTTTTCATGTAAACCAGTATAATGCAACTTAATGGGGATTTTTCCATGTAAACCAGTATTATGCAACTTAATAGGGATTTTTCCATGTAAACCAGTATAATGCAACTTAATAGGGTTTTTACATGTAAACCAGTATAATGGAACTTAATAGGGGTTTTTACATGTAAACCAGTATAATGGAACTTAATAGGGGTTTTTACATGTAAACCAGTATAATGCAACTTAATAAGGATTTTTTACATGTAAACCACTATAATGTAACCTAATAGGGGTTTTTACATGTAAACCAGTATAAAGCAACTTAATAGGGATTTGTACATGTAAACCAGTATAATGCAACCTAATAGGGATTTTTCCATGTAAACCAGTATAATGCAACTTAATAGAGATTTTTCCATGTAAACCAGTATAATGCAACTTAATAGGGATTTTTCCATGTAAACCAGTATAATGCAACCTAATAGGGATTTTTCCATGTAAACCAGTATAATGCAACCTAATAGGGATTTTTCCATGTAAACCAGTATAATGCAACCTAATAGGTTGCATTATACCACCAGACCAAGACCCAAACGAAGACTCAGACCACCACCAGATAATGACCACAGACCAGGTTTCCTTAGTTACAGGAACCAAATTGTTTCAGCGGTGAGGGGATTTTTCAGTTTCAAGGACACTTTCAATACATTCAGTAGTTTCAAGGATTTCAACTGTTTAAGAATTTAACCAGTTTCAAGGATATCAGGAGGTTCAAGGATTTCAGGAGTTTCCACACTTTCAACAGTTTCCAGGTTTAAAAAAAGTTTCAAGGATTTCAGGAGTTTCAATGTTTCAACAGTTTCAAGGATTTCAGGAGTTTAAAGGTTTCAACAATTTCAAGGACTTCAGGAGTTTCAAATATCTATCAAGTATTTTAACAGTTTCAAGGCCTTTTAAAGGATTTCAAGGATTTTTTTTAGCAGATTTCCACATTAGATCTGTTCCGCAGTCAATCGCAATGGCTTCAGCCATTGCAAGTTTCTAGTTGTGTCTGATAGGCATTCTCCCACACTCCTGCCCTGTGGGACAGAGGAGCGGCAAGGCAGATGGCTGCATTCAGGTCCACCGCGGGTCAACATATGGCCTGAAGAGACAAAGTTAGTGTTTGTGTGCGCACTAAAGGGGATTCGCACTTTTACTATGCATGAGTGGCAGAGGACTGAATGGGGAGGAAAGGTAATAAGCGGGGGTAGAGAGAGAAAAAAGAAGTCGGGAGATAAAGACAATTGGGTGTGGATGAAAGTGGGCGTCGGACTGTGGGATTGTGCATGTTAAAGCACCACTGCACACTGGGAAAACACAGCTTTTTGGACTACTGGTACAAAAGGGTAATAAAGTGTATTGATTTGCACATAATTAAATCACTGAGTTGATTCGCAGCTTATACAAATCAGGAGTAGAAGCTTTTAATTTACTAATGTGTATAGTAGCCATACAACCCTATGTTTTGCTTGAACAACATTGTGCTTTGGCATTATGGTGTGGTGTCATTAGAAAATATCAGGCTCTAATTGCCATTTAAGAACATGCTGGATTTGACAAGTAGGCCTTCATCTGAGGTATCTGAATGCCATAAATGGAAAGTATGTCAGACAAAAAAAATGCTATACTCTTGATAATTATAATTTGTGGGAATATTCACTCTATAATAGTCTGTCCAATAGCAAAAAAATCCACTTGCCCTGATGAAGAACCAAGAGGGGTCAAAACGCGCCAACATGTCCATGTAGGAATAAAATACCGAATGCCTCAGACTTTTATCTCTTTGTTTTTCATTATAGTTTCCCACAGATCCTTGAAGAGCACCTGAGCTCCTCACGTTTGTTCTACATTTTTTGTTCCTCAAAAGTAATTTAGCTAAAAATTATTTAGTTTTGACTATGCTATTTTTAGGTTGCATTGTACTACTTGTTTGTAATACTTCTCACACTCTATGAAATGATTTGATCGATGGTATGAAAATCTCTAAGACAAAAAACTTGTAGTGTGTGTGTGTGTGCATTACATCACTAGGCTCCAGAGCACACATAAAAGACATGGGCTCGTCCATGTGGTGAGTGTTACTGAATTGTAGCAAGTCGTCAATTTGAGAAATTGAATACACGTTGAACTTCCCCCTCCACCTGCACCTCCCTTCATTTCTCCTTTCTTCAGGTGCCCCTCCCACCCTCATTCAACCAGGCCCCTCCTTTGTTGGGTGTATGGCTGCACATTGTGATGCAGGCCAGGGGAGTGGGCAGGACTCAACAGCTGTTCCCCTGGATTACAGTACTTGTTCCTGGTGTGGAGCATCCATGGTCTCCTCTTGATTTCTGTGTGAAGTGACTATGTAGGAAAAGTAACTCAATTGCGTATGTACGAGTATCTCACTTTTAAAATACATGTTTGTCTCCAACGACAGTTTGGTGGAAAAAATCCGTCCACAACATTTAGAAAGCCTTTGACCTTTTACATACTGAGAGCTGGCTGGCTGAAGGCTGATATTATTTTTCACTTAAAAAGAACTAAAAAGCATGCATGTGGAATTTAGAGATAGACCCAAACTGTTTTGAAAACTTAGAAACTAGCTATTAGGTTTTTTTGGTACATTTTATTATTAGAGGTGGAACAGTGGAAGTTCAATTTTAGCCATGGAGTTACTGCTACCCATTTTCTCCTTTTTTTTATACCAAAAAACGCAATTGACATAAAACACTCACATAAAACACTCACATAATGCATGATCCATATAATATTGCATAGATGGGGCAAAATGGCACGTATTTCCTACTGGAATTTTAGCTCAAGCTTAGAAGTTCCTCGAATCTGTTGCTTCACTACCAATCACAGTCGGTACGTGTTCATGTTTTGACCTGCATCCCTAAAGTTCCATGGCTTTATCCCAGACGAACACTTGAGGTACTATGAGTTATATATTTTTTACTCTTCCACACCATTTTATCACCCACATCCTCTGTTCTTTACAATCTTGGATGTACTGCCTGCACCATGGTTTGCACTCCCCCAGTCCACTCCCTCGAGCCTCATAAAGTAGCTCAGCTCTTTAGAATTTCTCTCCTCATTTTACCCATGTCCACTTTTTCCCAATCTCTTCTCTTCCAGTCTTACAATAGGCCAGCAGTTCAGCCCACTCCCCTCCCTACAGGGACTTTTCCTCACTAATCCCCATTTCTACTCCCCCCTCAGAGGATATGAAGTTTTTCACAGCAGACAAACAAGGCAGACAGGAATAGTCAGAGCAATCACATTGTGTGAGTTTTAATTACATGAATAAGATAAACCTTTGAGTTCAGACTTTTGTGGTCATTACATTTCTATTGAGGCTGCAATATTGTTTTGTTTTTTTTTAAGATAAATGCGCAGGGTGTTTGTTTAAATTCAGTTTCCACAAACTTGTATTGTATAATACATAACAAACATCTAAAACAGTAATTGTATTAGGTTCTACAAATATTTTAAAGTTTAAAGATGACAAAACAAAGAGTGGATTAAACCATGTATTCTCAGATTCCCTGAGAGAGCTACTTTTTGGTACAGAATTGGCAGAGAAACTCTTTTAAGTTGTCAAAAGAAATGCAATGGTCATAAGGAGCTAGACATATGCGGTACAGGTAGATGCCCGATTAGATTATCTAATATCATTAGTGCACAAAGGGACATTTCTAATGGGCAGCTACTTGGAAACCCCTCTGTAACATACTGTATGTCTTCCTCTAGTGGTCACAAAAGGCACATACACAATTATGTGAAACAAGCCTCTATCTTCATTTATTTTGCACCATTTATATACTGAACAATTAACCTCATGACAAGCAGAATGTAATCTGTTTGTGATGTTTGGATTGAAATATTTATATAGTAATAATTATACAGCTTTATACATTGAAAAAAACGTATTTTCTTTTTGCTATTTAACATGAATTAGAATAAGGAATAAAATGACATAACTATTATCCAGTGCACAATGTGTTATCTGTGAACTGGTTTTAAATGACAGTTATTTTATAAAAGAAAACATAATGGATGCACTTTCAAAGACATTAAGTCCTGATCACAATGTAGTTTTATAAATATGCTAAAAAAAGGAAAAATAAACCAAAAGAGTGCCTACATGTACAAGCCATCATGTTATGCAGTCAGATACATAAAACATTCATGACTTCTGGATGACAACCTGGAATTTACCTGAGGAAGATTGGAAATATATTTGAGTTACCAAAGCATCGGGGGGGTGAGTTATTCTATTTAATAAATATTTGTTTGCATCATACTTACAAGATGGCATAATGGACACTTCAGCAGTTACAACACTTTCCATACCAAGATTTGATAGAGCTCCTCTGACGATTCCACATGAAAAGGCTAGGTACTGATTTTAGAGAACAATGTAGGTATAATTCAGTATTTTTGTTTACCTTTTGATGCAACAAATATGTGAAAAATTATTTGATGTAAATGTGTGATCTAACCTTAGGTGCCTGGTCTAGGTACTGCTTCCCATTTGATAGCTGAGTGAGTAAAGAGAATTTGTTGTCTTGAAGTACATAGGTCCCCTTTGAAAAAGAAAAAAAAAAAAACAGAACAAATGACCTCAGATGAGCATTCAGGACTTCTGCTTGCATTCTGGGAACATTTACCTGGTGGTTTGTTCTGAGATTGTCAATCTGCCTCCTAAACACCTTTGTCCAGAAGTCTTTACAGACAAACTTCATGACATCAAGCTCATCCTTAAAGCTGGGAGAGTCTCGTGTCAGCCTGTGTAGAAGAAACAAAAGGGCATCAGATCCAAACCGCAGTGAGCATCGGATGTACAATTTAATTCAATTCAATAGTTTATTTTGGACACAAGAGTAAAAGGTCCATACCAGAAGACATACAAAAAACAATAAATAAAAATAAAGATACTTTTTCCTGTATAGGCTCTGAAGCCAGTGAGTCCATATACTGGAGAAATAACACTGAGCTCAGACCTTGGTTGGTCAATACAGCAATGATGTTGTTGACAGAGTGGGACAGTCTGCACATGCACCTGTACATGAGATTACACAGTACAGCAGGACAACCACTTACTTACAAACATGGCACTGGCACTGCTCCATCGTGGGACCCTTAGCAGCATCCGCACGGCATCATTGTATGCCACAGTAAGTTTTGCAAACTGCTCTTTTTATAGCTCCTCCACAATCATTATTATGAACAGATGACAAACCTCTCAATAATTCCTTGTCCAACTCTGAACCCCATGCTCTCCAAAACAGATATGCACTGTCCCCTTTCCTAAAACATACGGACAATAGAATGGGAAGCAATGGATTTCAATTGATATAAAAACGTATAGCACACTCCAATAATCATACATCACAGAGCGTTGTCACCATCCTCCCACCTTGTTATCCATGCTCCCTTTATTGGCTTGCTGCTCCTTGTAAACGTGTGAAACAATTTCCATGTGGAGAAACTCGAACAGAACCTCATCTGCCATGTCTGAAACAAAAAATAACCAGTTTACTAATAATACCCTTTATTGACAAGACCTAGCTGCTTAGCATGTGCTATCGTGATGCAGCCGTGCTTTGGTAAGGTTTGCTTTGAATGTGATGCATGTGTTGAGATCATTCTTGCTTATTTGTTTAGCAGAAATGTATAGTACACTCTTGATATTAAGTGAAAAGCGTTAGATGACCAAACCTGCGAGAAATTTGTGAAATGATCGCGACGAGCACAAAAACAAGACGCGACACCTTCACTTCCGGGTACACGTGACACTGTGGCGTTATTGGATTGGCTGACATAACCACGGGTCAAAACCGACTTCCGTGATGCTCATGTGACTCCGGTTTGTATCGCCTTACTGCAGGTTTGCCCTTTAGCATCTTGTATTTCTTTCACTGTACGTTGTTGCTTATTGGCACATGACGCGTAGTGTATTTGTGCTTGTATGGTCTATCCAGGTATGTCCAGATACCCGATAGTTGTGCAGGGGGAAGCCTCTGAGACGGATTCAGATGATGAAGTGTACATCACATCTCTGCCTCCTCCCCAAACCACTGCGGGAGCCAAGGTTTGTCCTGTTATTTTTTGTGTATGTAACAACGGAGTCATTTTAGCGTTGATATGTTGCTCTGCTTCTACACAGGTTCCAGGGGAGGCATCAGAGACAGACAGTGAGGGCGAGAAGGAGCAGCCACACCAGGGGGCAGCAGTGAGCCATGAGTGTGCTCAGATCTTCAAGAGGGACCTGCCTCCTCTTATAGTTGTAAGAGACCACCCCGATATTCAGTCAGTGGTGGAAGACAGACCCAGCCCCACACACCAACAACACGGTGAGCTACTTTGATGACCGATGACTCAACAGCCAGTGCAGTTATAATGGTCTCAATCAAGTTTGAACTCCAAACTCACAAGTATTGTTCACAAAATGAGATAAAAAGGATTTTATATTATGAGGCTTTATTACCTAAATCTCATTTCCAGTTGAGTTCATTTCCAAAAATGATCTACTTTCAAATAGATCCAATCTCACCAGCTTTACCTTTCCTTATACTTACCATGGACAAGGAAGGTGGGCATTTGAGTTTGATCTTTATCATACTTACTATACTGAGATTGTTTATTAGAAAGAATGAGTCATCAGAGGCAGAAAAACTTTACAGAGTCCTGCCATTTATTTGTGCTCCAAGTGTTCAGGTTGATTTATTTTATTATATTTGGCCATATTTTGGCAATTTAGAGCGCTCCAGCAAAAATCATGTTGTGTGGCTCCATCGTGTTTTTGAAAGTGATTCATCAATGACTAGGACCCCAGCTTGAGTGCAAATTATAGACTGTATATAATAACGGACAGAGTCACGCCTATCTCCGCCGTTCATAGGAGTTGGCCATGAAAAGTGCTTTCATGAAGCAATCCAAAATGGCCGCGAGTGGTCCCGCCCACAAGAAAATTGTGAAAAAACGCATCTGCGCATGCGTCAGCCGGCGCAACTCCATTCATTTAAACGAGTGACTTCAAAAATTCAAACTAAACTAGAGTGGACCAAAAAAAGTCACCCCCCTCAGCATTGACACACATGTGGAACGGAGCTTTGGGCCAAGAGCCAGCTTTTGGTCCATCCTGTAAAGACGTTTTCGAGAGGTCTGCCAATGCTATATGTTAGCATTGGCTAATTCTTCTTCTGGGTCCACCCCCATCGGCCCGGGGTGGTATTGCAGCATGTCAGCGCACGTCATTTTGGCCACTTTTGAGCTGGGACCCGCCCCCACTGGTGCAAATAGACTTTATGGATACATGGAGACTAAACTTGGTGTGTAATTTTTTTTATGAAAAAAAAAGTTTGATGCCCAGAGGAAAAAAAACCTTAAAAATGCAACTTTGGTGTCAACCCAATTTAGTTGTGATTGGAGTTCCTTTTTAAACAATTAAATACCCTGTCTTTGAGAGTTAAATACTCAAGATCTTCCTATAGTTACAGAGTATTCTATAGGAATTGTCTTACTTTAATTACATGCTGTTTTAGGCGACACGCTGCTGCAACAGAAACTGCAGGAGTCCAACCATCATTTGTTCACTGATGTGAGTCAAACCCTCCGTCACGTGTATGGAAGTGCCAGCCGGGAGGTAGGCAGAGCTGCAGAAAGTTCAGGATAAAGCACAGAGTGGTTAAACTGTTTATTTATTTTTATTTTTTGCTACAAGATTCGTACTGCCACAACCCAGCTCAATTCGTCCCAAAGCGCCATCATCAACGCGTCCCACAGCATCCGCCTGATTCTGGACGACCTCAAGGCCGTGTCGGAGAAAATTGACATCATCACCAGCTGCCAAATCCTGCCTGACATCCACATGACTCAAACAGAGAATGCAAGGTCCCCTATAACTTGATCTTGAACTATAATTATATGCAGCATTTGTATTCTGTACAAATAAAAAAAAATATTTATAGAGACACATTTGATAAATAAAGTTTACATTCATGAGTTATAATACCCTACATTCTTATGATTATGTTTATGACAATCTATTTACGATAATGAATGTATATAAGCTGTAAATGCAAGAAAAAGCAAAAAAATTATTTTTTGCAAAAAAAAGTGTTACATTCTAGTTGTACATAAGAATCTTTTTATAATATTTATTGACATTATATTGAATACACTTTACTGGTAAGACATTACTCAGAAGAGGTGCAGATCTCATACTGAATGACAGTAAAGTGTTATGAAGACGACAGACTGGTCACATACAGAGTAACATCAAAGAGACGGCCACTCGTCAGTCGTTTGTGTAGAGATAGATGAACGCCACCACCAGCAGGTTCAGAAATGTGGCCATGATGCCCACCAGCCCAAACATGTGGTCAGTGTCCACCCTGCAGCAGCCAAATGGACCATCCTCCTGGGGATATAACATCCGTATGACTCTCATAATACACTTCTCAGTGTGGGCTGTACATACAATATTTAAACATATTTCACATTTAAAACGTATGATTATGAGCATTATGATTTTGGTGCAGCAGTTTTTCTAGCATTATAAAGTATGTCTTACCAGTTACACACACTAGATGGAGCTGCGGTACTACAACTCTAAAATCATAATTTCTTGATCCAGACGTGATCCTGATAACCTCCAAAATGTGTTAATTTGTTGCAAATCTGCTTATTGCTCTTTGCGTGATCATGCTAACTAACAAACAAACCCGATGCAAACTTAGGATCCTCTACCCCCTGACAGAGGATGTATTGTCTGCACAGGTAGAAAATCTCTCATTAAGTAAATTGTTAGCAAAATATGTGCTGGATGGATTAAATGTTGTAAATTGCTTACCTTATTGTTCTTGGTTTGTTTTGCATCTCTTGTATCCAAGTTCATATTTGGTCAGGTGGGAGATTTTGTAAATAAATAAATAAAAACTTTAAAGAGATGTGATTTATTTCCCAAAATACATTAGGATCCAAATTCTGGAAAAAATATAAAAATTGCTATTTGCATTTCCCCAGATGTCTGCGCCACACTGAGAACTGTTGCTACCTTGGAGAGCTGACGTTATATATACGCAGTCTCAAGATTCCTTGACTATCAATGATGTCACCTGTTTTTGGTCGGGTGAAGGGATGACCTGTTGGATTTAATACTCTCACCATTTTCAAGTTGACCACACATCCGAGTACGTCATACTGCATGCTCTGAAAAGCTATAAGGCTAAACTGAGCTGTTATAAGAACTTCGATGCTGAAGACAAATTGCAGTCTCCAAATAACAGCAGCACATTCCATTAATCATATCTAGTATAATGAGCGGCCTTTTGAGGCGTCGTTATTGGATATTCAAGGGGTCAGAGGTCAACTGTTAATTTAGGTCAGATAGAATAAAATAATTGCATTGTCGCAGTAGTCGCTACAACGTTTGCTCAAATATACAGAAACGCCTTCACAAGAATGATTTATTGGTTTTATGATACATAGTGCATACGGTTTCATTATTGCAACCCTTTTGATCCACTTCAACCCATGAGTTTTACTGTTACGGATAGGCGCTTTGGCTTCTGCCTATTCCATTGCAGACATAATGTGTACACATTTCTATTTTCATGTAATGAATGTTCAAAATGTCTGAATAAATTAATCTGAATTTGTTACTTAAATTGGTGTGACGAAGCATTTTTACCACATCTGTTATAACTACAACCACTCAGTATTCACAACACTGGTTCAGTTCCCTGGGATACAATGTGCAGCTTTTATTCACCCTTGAGATGTCAAATTCAGAGTAGTGTTTCTCAAAGGACAATGTTTGCATTATTGAGGCATCTCCGTTCTGCCACTCACACTAATGTGGACCGCGTGTGTGTGTGTGTGTTAAACTGCTGAGGTAATTGGAATAATGTGACCAAGTGCATATTATAAACCCTCAAATCTGCATTAAAACAGGATCAGAGTGGTCAACATCACTGTATGGATCAGAAACATGGACTGTATCTAAACGAGGAAGACGAGGATTAGTGTGGACAGATGACATCGAACCCTGAACTGGACAGAAAAGACTAAAAAACTTCCATGTTATTAAGATCAAATTTATTTCTTACATTACAATTTATTTCTTGTGTTTGATTCTCTGATCTGTGTTGGCGGATTTAAAGGTTGTGTAAAGTCCTCCAAGATAACCACTGTTTTGATTTAGGGCTATACAAGAATAAATGTCATTGAACTGAATGTAAAGGGATATGAATTTCCCTGAATGTCATGTTTCGCTGTTTGGAATTTCACCTTTTGGAAGATTTTCTGTTTTTTCCAACTGTCAAAAATCCTATACAAAAGCAAGCTTATAACTATTTCCTTCTACAACAGGAGGGTCCAAACATTGAAGGAAGAGGGCCTTTTTGGTTCCGCAGACTTCCTCAGGGGCCGACAACCTGGATTGGTATGTGGTTTTGACTGGATTTGGGCTGTTCTGAGCTTTAGAATGCGCAATAACAGAGCTGAAGTTGACTGAATGACAAATGTTTACCATCTCGCTACATAAACAACATCCATCCATCCATTTTCTACCCTTTAATCCATTTCTGGGTCAGGGGGGTGGCAATCAGGGGGTGCCACCCAAGTCTCATAGCACCAGCCCCTCACTGACCCTCTGCAGGTGGTGAGTCCACAGGAGGACGGCTGCTCTCTGACTGTGAGCATAGCCTTGATCTTTCAGTGGGGGCTTTGGGCAAAGTGGGGTTAAGTGTCTTGCCCAAGGACACAACGACAGCAGTCATCAGTGGGAGTCTGTGGAGAAGGTGTAGAGGTGGGAATTGAACCCACGACCTTCTGGCCTTAAGGCCAATGCTCTACCAACTGAGCTACTGTCAACAACAACAACATAAACAACATGAATATACAAATAAAGTAAAAGGCTGAATTCTAGAGGTTTTACAACAAGATACAACATGTCCATATCGTCTGAGATCAAGTTGGCTATATGATCTGAAAGACTACAATAGATTAACAAGGCATAAGGCCAGATAAAATGACACAGAGGGCCGCATTTTGCCCACGGGCCTTAGTTTGGACATGCCTGGTCTACAACATCAGTCATGCTCAGTCAAACGAACTCAAATCTAAAGTTGCTTATGGACTTAAACCGGAGTGGGCAGCAATTGAACTGCCAAGCTTTTAAATCAAGATTGTTCACTGCACAACCTGAGTCACTCCAGCCTCTATATGCATATTATTTACTTCTGTCTGAAAGAATACTGTATGATGAATAGTGGCCACTGCATTAGTATAGTTTATGGACAAATGTGTGTATAGAGGTAGTCCATACGTGCATGTATGTGGGACTCAGTGGCTCTGACTGTCCATGGGTATGGTTACACTCAACAGGCAAATAGGACATTATATTTGTGTTTACGTAAAACCTTTTTCCTCGTTCCGATGGAGTGGCTTCAGGCTCGCTTGCAATGAGCCGCCTCATGCTTGAGTTGACCGACTATAACTAAAGACTAAAATAAGGACAGCACAAATAATAGACCTATGCATGGCAAGGAGGAAGGATTTTCTGGTCATAGGAGTACTCATGGTTTTATTTGACTCTGCCTCATTATGTGTGTGTCTTTGGAGATGGTTATAGGTCTGCTGTGTGTCGGGGGGTAGCACAGGTCAGTGGTCGTCTTAGTGAGCGCTCGGGGACATGCTGTTAGTTTATCAGGCTGGATGAGCACGGCTGAACACAGCAGCACAGGTCTGCCCCAGTCACATTACAGCCACAGGGGAGAAGCTTATACGCTCTCAGACAGACCAGGCAATATGTCTCTGTACAACTGTTCCGTCTTCATCGTGGCAAGGAGTATTGAAGTTCAATCTGTAATTGTCAAATAAAATATGTTTTGCTTTTACAAAAAAATATAGGTGACAGGACGAGAACTCGCAGAGAAGTCACTTTGACGGCTTTTCGTTCATTATCTCGTTCCTAAATTGGTTCAGAGCAATCTCAGCTTGAAGCGAGTGCTAGTTACCATAGCAACAATGGTAAAGGTGCACTTTATTTCTGTTACACTGTTACCACTTACCAGTTTTAGCGTGTATTCATGATGAAATAACATGAAAATAGCGACTTTCTATGCAAAATTGAATTCTAATAATTTATCTAATAAATTAATCATCTAATCAATCAATTACTCTTTATTTTTTTTACTAATTGTTTCCTTTATGAGATTCTTTCTGTTAGGACATTATTTTTGGTAGATTACGTACCCCCCAGCGTTAACAATAGAGAAAATATTCTTCTTGTAATATTTGATTAATCATATTCACTGTTACTGCTGTTGTCAAAGTTTATTGTAGACACACAGAACATTTGACTATTTCTGCCTACTTGTATTAAAATATGTTTTTTTTCTTTCTTGTGCCAGAACTATCTTGGCAAAAAAAAAAAAAATATAGCAACACAAATTAACCCTTTAGGCACCATGGATTATTCAGAACTTATTATTATTCAGAAACTCAATCAAAAATCAACAGAGGTCACTACTAAAATCAATAACAGAAAAAAACACAAGAAAATGATGTGTGTAAAGTCGTCCAGATTCCGCAACATGTAAAAGATGAACAAAAATAAGTTAATTTTGTGTTTTTTCTTATACGCCACAAGTCGAATAAAAAAAACATTCAACTCCGAAACTTTAAGTTGCAACAAATAATTCTGTAATTCAGTCCACACAGTTCACATGTTTTACCAGTTTGTGCGACTGGGCCAATATGGCGTCTGTATTTGGACTGTTTCTTTCCACTGCTGCTGCTCCGGTGGGTGATAGCCTGGTTCTCATACCACTGCGGTGCATTGAGGAGGAACACACAATTAGGATGCAGCCTGCTGACATCTGGAAGAACAAACAGAAATGG